AGCGTCAGAAGAACGCCGTTGTCTCGAGTTTGAGAGAAAATTGAGGCACGGGCTCAAGATGAGAGTTGGCAGGTCTATGACTCGGGAGTATAGGCGCCTTGTGGACGCTGCGGCACATATGGAGATTATGATGCATGAGGAGGAGGAGAGGTTGAGGGGCTCCAAGAGGAGTCAGGATGGCCAGGGCGATGGCAGGAGACAGAGGGGTCCTAACCCTCAGCAGTCTTAGGGTGGTTTTGCTAGATTTACTTTTCCAATGCCGAGTGCAAGTTTTGGGAGAGGCAGCCAGGGAGACATTACTTGTTACAAATGTGGTCAGTTGGGCCACAAGTCTCCAGCTTGCCCAAAGAGGAGAGGAGGTCAGAGAGCTGCTTCATCTTCGGCTCGACCTCAGAGCCAGAGTCAGGGCAGAGGTCAGCCATTGTCTTGTTATTAGTGTGGTCAGCCGGGGCACCTGAAGAGGTTTTGCTCGTAGTTGAGTGCCACATCGGGTGCGTCTGGTTCTAGGCAGACGCAGAGTTTTCAGGCAGCACAGTCAGTTCAGGCCTCGAGGGCCAATCTGGGAGCTTCGTCGTCCCAGTCTGTGTAGCAGTCTTTTGCTCCTAGGGGTGAGCAGGTGGATCAGAGACCTTCTGGGCGCGTGTATACTGTTACCGTACAGGATCTTGTACCTGCTCCATCTGTTGTGAGAGGTACCTTCTTGTTTTGTAACTCGGTTGCTAATGTGTTGATTGATACGGGTGCATCCCATTCCTTTTTATCTGCTGCATTTGCATCTGTTTTGGGATTGGAGTTGGAGTTGACGCAGTTAGTATCTCCTATATGTGTTGTATCACCTGTTGGGGGTGAATTGATTTTGAAACAAGGGTGCCGGGGCTGTGATATAGAGGTCGCCGACCGCCGACTTCCATTTCCTTTTGTAGTTATGCCTATGTCGGGTTTTGATGTTATCTTAGGTATGGACTGGCTATCGTCATACCGGATTGTTATCGATTGTTACCGCCAGAGGGTCACAATATGTACCGTGAGTGGGGATTGTTTCCATTTCTTGGGGGATCGGGTTGGTAGTGTGTTGCCACCGGTTTATGATCTGCGAGGGCGGAGTGAGCTTAGTGGTCTTCTCGCTAGCTTCATGAGTGGTGAGTGTGATGAGACCCAGACTGTATTGCCGAGAGTGGTTTATGAGTATTCTGATGTTTTTCCTGAGGACCTTGTTAGCTTACCACCTCATCGAGAGATTGAGTTCTTTATTGACTTAGTGCCCGACACGGCGCTGATTTCTATGGCACCATATCGTTTTGCCCCAGCCGAGTTGAGTGAGTTGAAGATTCAGCTCCAGGAATTGCTAGATAAGGGCTTTATTCGCTCTAGTGTTTCGTCGTGGGGAGCACCGACTCTCTTTGCTAAAAAGAAAGATGGTGCCTTGAGGCTTTGCATTGATTACCGAAAGTTGAATCGGGCTACGGTCAAGAATAAGTACCCTATGCCTCGTATAGATGATTTGTTTGACCAGTTGAAGGGTTCCCGTTATTTCTCTAAGATAGACTTGAGATCGGGCTACCACCAGTTGAGGATCAGGGATGAGGATATTCCGAAGACGACATTCCGTATGCGGTATGGCCATTATGAGTTTCTGGTGATGCCTTTTGGGCTCACCAATGCACCGACAGTCTTTATGGACTTGATGAACCGAATATTCTGGAAATTCCTAGACCGCTTTGTGGTCGTTTTCATGGACGACAGTCTGATTTATTCGCTTTCTGAGGAGGATCACGAGAAACACTTGAGAGTGGTGCTTGAGTTACTTAGAGCCCACAGGCTGTATGCCAAATTTGGGAAGTGTGAATTCTGGCTAGGAGAGGTCAAGTTCTTAGGCCATGTGGCTTCTGGGGAAGGGGTGTTTGTTGATACATCCAAGATTGAGGCAGTGCAAGATTGGGCACAGCCTAAGAGTATTTTTGAGATCCGTAGTTTTCTGGGATTAGCTGGGTATTACCGCCGGTTTGTGAAGGATTTCTCCAGGCTAGCTTCGCCATTGACTAGATTGACATGGAAAGGGGTCAAGTTCGTATGGAGTGAGACTTGTGAAAAGTCGTTCCAAGAGTTGAAAGTTAGATTGACCACCGCTCTGGTTTTGATTATTCCGGAGAGAGGTTCAGGTTATGCAGTTTATTGTGATGCTTCACGAGAGGGTTTGGGTTGTGTGTTGATGCAAGAGAGGAAAGTCGTAGCCTATGGCTCGCGATAGTTGAAAATACACGAGAGGAATTACCCTACACATGACCTAGAGCTAGCAGCTGTGATTTTTGCCTTGAAGATTTGGAGGCACTACCTTTATGGTGAGAGGTTCGAGGTATTCTCGGATCATAAGAGTTTGAAATATCTGTTTACACAGAAAGACTTGAACTTAAGGCAGAGGAGGTGGATGGAGTTTATTGAGGATTACGACTTTGAGTTGCATTATCATCCGGGGAAGGCTAATGTTGTGGCCGATGCCCTTAGCAGAAAATCCATTAGTGATGTAGCTTGTATAGCCATCCGGGAGTGGGAGATGTCGGGTGCGCTTGGCGAGTTTGATTTGCTTCTAGGCGAATCTATTGAGGCTGCGGTCTTGTTTTTTGTTGTTGCGCAGCCTACACTGGTGACTCAAGTGTTAGGGGCACAGAGAGATGACCTTGAGGTAGAATCCCTCCGGGAGAAGATCTCCAGTGGGAAGGTTGAGAAGGTTTTGTCTGTGTATCCCGACCAGAGTGTGAGGTACCGAGACCGTTTGTTTGTGCCGGAGTCTTGCCGAGAGGAGGTACTCCGAGAGTTTCACCATTCACGCCTTGCGGTGCATCCTGGAGGCACTAAGATGTATCGGGATTTGGGTTGCCAGTTTTGGTGGCGGGGTATGACGAAGGATGTGGCACTTTTTGTGTCCAAGTGCCTTACTTGTCAGCAAGTGAAGGCCGAACATCAGAGGCCAGCGGGTTTGTTACAACCCTTGCCGATTGTCGAGTGGAAGTGGGAGCATGTCACTATAGACTTCGTTGTAGGTCTTCCGAGGACTCAGCGGGGTAGTGATGCTATTTGGGTGGTAGTAGACTGGTTGACTAAGTCGGCGCACTTCATCCCTATGCGCGTGAGAGATTTGGTAGATCATCTTGCCGACTTGTATGTTCGGGACATAGTGAGGTTGCACGGGGTCCCAGTGTCGATTGTCTCAGATAGAGACCCACGTTTTACTGCTAGGTTGTGGCAGAGTTTGCAGAGTGCCTTGGGTACTAGGTTGACCTTTAGTACGGCTTACCATCCTCAGACTGACGGACAGTCCGAGTGTACTATTCAGATCCTTGAGAATATGCTTCGAGGTTGTGTCCTTGACTTTAGTGGGTCGCGGGAGAGGCACTTGCCTTTGGTGGAGTTTGCCTACAACAACAGTTTTCAGTCGAGTATCGGTATGGCACCGTTTGAGGCCTTGTATGGCTGACCGTGTAGGTCTCCAGTTTGTTGGGCCGAGGTGGGTGATGCACCTTTGTTGGGCCCGGAGTTGGTAAGGGAAACGACGAAGAAAGTTGAGCTTATCCGTAGGAGGCTTGTTACAGCCCAGAGTCATCAAAAATGTTATGCCAACCGTAGGAGGAGGCCTTTGGTCTTTGGCATACGAATAAGTTGACTTTGGGTCTTTGCCGATTGTGATTTAATTTCTTGTTTTCTGATATTATTTTGGTTCCTTGCCAATTGAATTATGAAATTCTGCTGCTATTTTGATTTATTTTTTTGGTGTTCTATTTTGTTTGCGGTAGTAAAAGCTTCTTTGTAGCATTGATTTGGATTAGGTGAAGTTGTATTTTATTTTGAAGGTGTATTATTGTGTTATTAATTATTTATGTTCAAATTTCATTCTTTTCCTTATTAATCAAAGTACAAATAACATTAGGTGATGGTGGTGGAGTTGCGGTGATGGTAGAGTGGTGGTATTCAATTTGTTGGCCCTTAGTTTTCTTCTACAAGCTTTTTATCTTGGTCGTTAGATAACCTACAAGGAGGAAGAAGAAAGCAAGCATAAAAACTGTGACAATCACATATGGCAAGATATATTAGGTTTGCAAATTTTCTATTTGGAGAGAGGGAAAAGAATCCAATCCAACGACACGATAATTGTTAACTTCTTCAACTGTATTTTTTTCGTCAAACATTTCTCTTTTGATGCTTGGATGGAATATTTGGATGCACTTCTTTTTATATTTTTTTTATTGAAATTTTAACTCTTCCAATGATAAAATTTTGATTTTGTCCATAATTTTGATGACGAAAAATAACATTAATCCATTAAAGCACTAATAAGTGTCTCTTACATTAGCCTTATTCCATTAAAACACTAATAAGTGCCTCTTACATTTTCACCTAAATAAATGAAATGTTGGTGTTAGAAATTGTAGACCACATTATTGTTTTGATCAAAATTAGAATCTTAACAAATGGTAATTGCGAGGTAATACCATCTTACTTAAATGTAAATGAAATAAGTGAACAGTTCATTTATGTAATTTTGTAGTCTAATTACTACCTACCGCATGATATTCGAACTCTCATTAATTGATGCCATTTACAACCTTGTGAAATACAAATCATTACGTGAAAGTATCATTTTACCTCTTAAATTATCACTAAAAAATCAATTATTATTAATTTTATATTTAAACTATTTGATTTTAGATCAATTTTACGTCCATCGTTTACTTTCGTTTATAATCAAACATAAATTGATAATGTGACACCCAAATTTCATTTAAAACTTTATTTTACCTCCTAAACTATCTCTAAAATATCAATTAGAAATGCAATTTCAAATAGTGTCACAACAACAACTTCTGTTTAATTATGGTAGAGGTAAAATTGATATAAATTGAATAGATTAAATATAAAATAAATTCCAAACCCTAAGATTACTTAAATTTGATCCCAACCATTCAATTGTTTAATGGTTGAAAATAGGCAACCGGGTTAATCGGTAAAGGCCTCTCACTCTGTTGCTCTCTCAATCCGTCTGCTCTCGCTTTGTTGGTTCTCCATTTGTCGCTCTCACCGCCTGGATCTCATCCCACTCACTAGCAATCGAGCAATGAGCATGCACTTCTCCAGGCAAGGATTGCGACGGCGACGACCAGTGTGAGTTTTGCTCCGTTGAGTTCCATTTGAGGGCCAAATGTATTGATGATCAAACCCTAGATGTCACCAGCAAGGACCTTTACAGCTCCGACCACACCGTTGTTCCTGTTGATTTCTCTGATTCCAGCTCTGGTTTTGACAATTCCGAACAGAGGTCTCTCTCTCTCTTTATGTCTACGCCCTTCTATTTTATGTTTGTATTGTATCTATGATTAAAAATCGTATTATAATGTTATAATTATTCCCATTAATTTGCTTTTAGTATTGAGGTTCTAGGAATTTTCATGTATGATTGTTGCTTTGGTTATTAATGCTTCATTTTGGTTGTTAGTGAAGGAAAAGAAAAAAAGAAAAAAAGGGAAATGCACAAAACTGAATTGATGAGTTTGACTTGATCTTTTTATGTATAGCTTCCTTTGTCATCTCCATTGTTGTTGGATAGAAATAGAAATTATAAAATAAAACAAAAAGAAGAAGAAGAAGAAGCAACCTTCAGCTAAGAAGAGCCAAAATCATCCATGCTCATGTACAGGAAATGGAAAATGAAAAAAGGAGACATAAAGAACATGAAGCTGTGAACTGAATGCTTTTAGTGCTGAGATTGAATTTTTGGTGCCTTAATGTTTGTTGCTGAGATTAAATATTGCTTGATGATGTTGTGAGGTTGATCATCACATTGGTTTCTCGTTGCTGCTGCTGTGATGTTGATTTCTTTGTTGCTGCTGTGTTGTTGTCATTCACCTTGTCCCCATGTTGATCTATTGCCTTTGTTTACTTGGCTTTCAGGATGCCTTATGGCAGTTTAGTGTTGTTGGGGTTTGGTGTTGGGCTGCAGGAGTATGGTTTTGTTTTGTTTTTTTTTTCTTCTTTCCTTCCTCTTGTTGTAGTTGGTCTCTTGCAAACCACTTTGTTTTCTCTTGGTGGAGCTTGCACATGATTTTGCTTTCTTTCAACCTAGTTGGGATGAGATGGATTTACTATGATGCAATTTTTGCTCCTACTTGTTGGTTTTGTTGTACTTCTCTTCTATCATTAATAAAATGCTCTCTTGTTTGCTGATCAAAAAAAAAAAAAAAAAAAAATATGAAAAAAAAAAAAAAGAATATGACCATATGTAATTATTATTTTTTATTGTGAGATACTGTATTACCTTGAATTGGGTATCACGCTCAAGTAAGTTTTGGTTGAAATTTGTGTACAAATAACCTTATGTAATTATTGTATTTTGATGGATTTTATGAGTTTCTTATGCCAAACTCAATTTTATGGCAAATTAGATATTAAATTAATTTGTTGCCTTTACTGGTTACATTCCATTAGTTCATAATTTTAATAAAATTATGAGATAGGGAGATTTTGGTTTTGATTTTTATCTAAGTGCTAAATGTTGATGGAATTTTACATCAAGTGTTTTACCCTTAAGAATAGTGCATGTGGTTTTGTGTTTTTATCAACTTGTAAAGTGTTAGTAAATTTTGTTAAATTATTTGAATATTTTGATGTACTTCAAGAATGGCATCATATGTTTTGTTCTTAAACCTGCATTGATTTTTCTACCTTCACCATCGTTGTTTTTATTCCGTTCCTAAATTTTGTGTTCCAAGTTTATTTTCTAGAAATCCAAACCTCAACTTCATCATTATGTTTCCAATCTTTTTGGTTGATGCTTATTTTCATTCAAGGGGAGTTACGATTTTGCAAATGGATATTCTATTTTGGTTTTGTTTTTGTTCAAGAGTTCTATGGTTTTTCTAGCTTGCATGTGTGTACACATAGTAGCAAGGTGGGTAAGTACAAGGTTAGGTGGGTTTGTGATTTGAGACTTCTCTCTTATTGCCAAAATACTCCTAGCTTTTGCCAAGTCAAATGACTATGAATGGGGAAAAAAATGTCCTAAGATTCAACGAGGAAACTTGACTTGGGCAATTATGTTTATTTACTAAAAGAATTACCCTTGAAACGACGAGCCTTATAGAAATTCGAATTTAGAAACATATTTTATGAACTATTACTAGATTGGTCCTATATGTTTGCTTTGTTCAGTACTAGTTGAGAAAAAGGGAATGTGAACTATAATTGCAGCTTCCAATTTCTGATAAATAGATTTTTTTTTTAATTATTCAACTTTTGAAAGAACTTAATGTACTCCCTTTAAAATCTACTTTTGAATGTTACATAAACAAATCCTCCAAAACTAACACCAGGGCATTCCTTATCAAAGATTTCCATCAAACTAGAAACGAGATAAACATTACTCATTACATTACTCAAGTCGCTGGCGGACACAAGGAGTGGCTAGGGTTAACCATGGCCCTTACAATCATTTCAAAAATCATAATTAAGTATATTTATTTGCTTTGAAGTCTATATTAAAAATCATTTTACTAGCTTCAAGTGCCATGTACTAACTCACATCTTCATTTGCTGTTGTCTTTTGCCGCAGGTCCTCAATTTCTTATTCTTCTGATACAAGCAAAGGTATAATTTCTTTTAGTTCCCATAAGCTACTAGCAGGTGTACTTTTTACTCTTTTATGTATATATAATGTTCTCATTAGTGAGCTATACTATGCAGAGCACTGCCGGGTGTGCTAAAATTGTTTTTTGTTTGTAATTGATGCCAGAGCACTGGCACGAGTGTGCTAAAATTTGTTAAATTTGATTTTAGTTGATAGCAGAGTACTGGCTGGTGTGCTTTATTTCTTTGTTTGCTTTTAATTGGTAGCAAAGCATTGTTGTAGGTCCTCAATTTATTATTCTTCTGATACAAGCAAAGGTATAATTTTTTTAGTTCCCATGAGCTACTAATGGGTGTGCTTTTTACTCTTTTATGTATATATAATGTTCTGATTAGGGAGCTATACTGTGCATAGCATTGCCGGGTGTGCTAAAATTCTTTTTTGTTTGTAATTGATGCCAGAGCACTGGCACGAGTGTGCTGAAATTTGTTAATTTGATTTTAGTTAATAGCATAGTACTCGCCGAGTATGCTTATTTATTTGCTTTATTTTAATTTATTGTATAGCACTGGTGGGTGTGCTTATTTATTTGTCTTTTTTAATTAATAGATAGTAGAACATTGGTTGGTGTGCTTATATTCTTTGTTTTCTTTTCATTGCTAGTAGAACGTAGGATGGTGTGATTAAATTATTACAAGGACACTTCAATAAATTGCAGAGTACTAATGGGTGTGGGGTAGCATGATATTTATCTAAAGAATAATATAGATAAAGAAATTGTGGGATTTTGCACAGCCAAGAAACCCTCTCCCTCCATTGAATTGCATTCTAAATTGTTGGTCCTAGCCCTCGGAAATTCCTCTGTTCTTGGTCCATTATTGAAGGATAAAATCTTTCATACACCTAGCTTAAACACTTCAATCAGATAATTTGGAGCGGACTTCGTAGAGACGGCGAACCTTAACAAGAAAGGGACTATATTTTTTTTTGTCCTTCATGTAGGACTTTATAATTAAGAGGAGGTTTTGAAAGTATTATATTTTTTTTGTCCTTCATATAGGACTTTAAAATTACGAGGTGGTTTTTTGTCCTTTTAACAAGAAAAGGAAGTTAGGAGGGGTTTATGGCCAAATTTTCCTTAATTTATTATCTTGGAATCATAAATCATATCATATAATAAATATATAAAATTTTATATTGTGTGCATGTCCTCACATGTCATGTCTGACATTTTTTAAAAATTGCCGTGTGCGTGTCGTATTCATGTCGTGTCACATGTCCGTGATTTTTTGGTAAGAAGAGGCAGTGACTGCATTGCTAGTGATTATTGTGATACTGATATGCCATGATAATGTTCATATAGGTGTCAATCATAGCAATATTGATTAATTATTCTCTCTATAAAGCTGTTTGGATTTGGTCCTAGCAACCTTGCTTCTTGTTGTTCAACCTTGGCTTTGCCCTTGGTGGCCTTGACCTTGTGGTGGCCTTTGCTTGCCTTGACCTTGGTGTGGCTTTAAACTTCCGTAGCTTTGCCTTTTGGCCTGGTCCTTCGGGTGGCCTTAGATTTCCTTGCCCTTGGGGTGGCCTTGGATTTCCTTGGCCTTGGATGTGTTGGCCTTGACTTGCCTTTGCGTTGTCTGGCCTTGGTGTGCTAAAATTTGTTCATTTGCTTTTGCTGGATAGTAAAGTATTTGTTAAAACTTCATCATGTATACGTCTGGAATATTCGTTTGTGATCCAAGCTTTACTTGATTCCAAGATATGGTCTATGCTTCACTTTTGGCTTTGGATCTTGATTTTCTATTTCAGTTGTTTGATATCTTGTTATGGCGTCAAATGAGTTTGGATAATATATACACGCATCTAATATGGCTTAATAGTACTTTATTTGAGGTACAAAATTTTAATAGGAATTCTTTCAATTGTACTTTCTGTTGTGTTTGTGAAAGGAATGCAAATTTTAGGCATGGTATAATGGCCCACACTAGAATCAAGAAGCTCTTTAATTCCTATAGACTCTTTAATTGCTTGGTTTAACCTTTGTTTATGTTTACAGGCCTTTATGATTTGTGGGTATTAGATCTTTGCGCAAATGTGTCTATCTATTTCGTTTTATCGCATACCTTTAGATTTGAGTTTTGAACCCTTGCTTTAGAAAATCAAAGGAAGCTACCAAGGAGAGTTACTAATTTTAAAGAGGGGTTATAGAGAGAATAATAGTTGGCCAAGGTTGGTGGTGTGTTTTCCTATACCTAATACTCCCTGATATTTGGCTTCTTTTGCTTTTGTTTTGTTTTGTTTTGTTTTTTTTTTTTACAGGTTTTGGATCCTAAAACTTTGTTGTCGTTTACTCTGAAACTGAAAACTTGACCAAATGCTTTTAAAATTAAAGACCGTCTCTCGCAGGAAATTCTTCCAGTTACATATAGTCACGATGTGGTAAGATATTGAGGTAGATTTTTTTTAATCCATTTGCTATTTTAATTATATCTGATTGTTATTCGCAAACCTTCTCCTTGCAATGAATGAGAGTCATTCACAAGTTAGTTTCTCTATTGGCTCAATAATGGCAACTAGATGTATATATATTCTAGGAGGGCTTAAAGATTATATGGTTCCATTGTGTTGGTTTCTCTATTTTGGTGGTTATTTCCAGTTCCTCTAATCTTTAGTGCAGAGGCTAAAATTTTCTGGTTTGTGCTCAAGGCCATCCTAAGGTTCTTCTTACTGAGAGAATTTATTTAAATTCTTTTTTTATTATTATTATTTTTTATGGGGCTTTTGTGAATTCTATAGTAGTTGCAATGTGAATGCATAATGTAGAATTGTCTTTGATGTTATTAAACTGTTGACTCACAAGAAACAGATAAAAAATAGCTTTTTCAAGTTTAGGTGTGAAATCTTGACTCACAAGTGATGTTGGATGGAGTTTTGACTCCTGAGTTTAATTTGGAGAAGCATTTGTTGAATCTTATTTCATTTATTCTTTATTCTATTTTTTCTTATTTGAAAATTTTTTTGGGCACTTCTTTTATTTAGTAAAAAAAAGGATCAATATAAGAGTGACTAGACCTTCTTCTTTTTTTTTCCTTATCAAATGCATGTCTTAGAATTAGATTTCTAAAAGACGAGTGATCAAAACGGATATTTGGTCATTGTAGGTTTTGTGAAAGCAGGTTGAAGAGAAATAGTATGCAAGAAGATAAAAGAGTATGAATTGAAGTGCTTGTTGAAGGAGCACTAGAAGAGGTTCATCAACATCAAATTGGGCATTAAATACGCACAAGTGCATGCCATTTCTTATTGGCACACATGTAAATCTGCACAACTGCCATGTCTTTGTAGATCGACTTCATGATTCTTTCTGGTTTCTGGATTGGGTTGTGATTCTTGGCAATGGTTTCAATATAACAATTGAATTGTATTGACAATGTTTATGATTGGATCAAAAAGAGTTTTGACTTCATTTTTTTTTGGTATTGTAATGGCTACATGGGTTTTGATATTCTCGGTTGTGTTTGTTAATGTATTTTGTGTTATGCTAATCTAGTGTCCTTACCAATCAAGTGAGATTGTTTTTTGATGTTAGTTAATCACTTTGAAAATTGGTTGAGATAGCATTAGGCTATGGCAAGTTTACCAATACTATAGAATAATTTTTTTAGGACAATCGATTATGTATACAAGCCACAAGTCTTGGTCCAAGTAGACTATATGGCAATTGAATTGATTATACATACAAGCCACAACACATTTGCAATACAATCAACTGTACTAATATGGTGCATTCATGAAACTAAGGGTTAATTTGGCATGTTTAGAAAAAATCATTATCTTATTTAAGCCATATTATCTTATTTAAGTCACATCACCTCTCTAACACATCACTTTAAACTCAACTCATATTTTATAAAAAATCAAAAAGTGCATTTATTTAGATCATTCTAAACAATCCCTAAGTTCAAACAAAATGTTTATAACGGATTGTGCAACCGATTATGTAACCATTTGTCATCTCAACTCAATAATGTATAACAATTTATCATTCCAACTCAATTGAAAGGAAATCAATTGTTTGCATAATCCAATTATTCTTTTAATGCTGACGTAGTTCTTGTTGCAAATTATATTTTTTTGTATTTAACAGGTTTATAATATGCATCATAGAAGCAATTAGTTGCAAACAAGAATATCAAAACCCTTGTTGCCAAAATTTACATTTTTTATTGAATTTATTGAACTATGAAAAGTATATCAGTGTGCAAGAAATGCTATAGCTGGCAATTACTAAAAAATTAATAGTTTGTGAATACAATAAAATATCTTTAATAACAAAATTAGCCAGAATTCTATTTTCATCCAAATATATAAATAATTCAACAAACAAATATAAAAATTCAATTCATTCAACACAAACTCCAATAAGGATTAAATACACTGTCCTCACAAAATAGCATATATTTCACCACTTACAAAAACTAGTGAGCTTATACACAAATTTATCCAAAATGTAAATTCTACATATTTTTATATTCAAAATAAATAAATAAATAAATAATGAGGAAATCAACAATAATTTCCCCAACAGTATTTACATATAGCACCCAAAAATATTAGAAAGCTTCCAAATAACTCATGAATCTAGCTCCAGCACTTATGTTGCTTCTTAAAAATACTTTAGCATCTGACTCCTCCCAATTTGACCTGAAAATTTATTTCAGTCTCTTGGTGCAAAGTATATGGGACATCAATTGAATTCTCATGTTGCTTATTTTCCTTATTTATTAACAATACATAAAATAAAGCATATTTACAATATAGCAGACAACAAGAAGCAAGTAACGAGAAATAGATATTAGATATCGCATTTTCATAGATGAGGGCAAGTTTGTTTAAAAGTTTAATTCTTTTTTTTTTTTTTTTTGGGTTTCCCTTTTTTGTTTGTTGCAGCTAAGGTTTCATGACACTACAAGATTGAAGAAAATTCCTCATGATTCAAAAGAAAGCTTGGTATCCAACTCAATTAGAAATTCAAGTCAGATATAAAAAATAAAAGTAAAATAGGTTAGTCTTCAAATCACTTTACTAAGTTACTACCTCTATCAACTTCAACAAATATTTATCTTGTACCTCAAACAAGTAAAATTCTCAATTAACCAATAACAAATTTCAAAGTAGTCAAAAGCTAATAACTAATACCGGGTGTATGTATCTTGGCTATTAAACTGCTAATGTGTTTTTGTGTTATGTGAAAAATATGCAGGCTATAAGTGAGTCAGTTTGTGTGCGGACAGAGCAAAATTAAAATTTTGAGCATTTGGCTTTTGAAGTAAAAAGGTGAAATTCTATTTTTATTAACAAATTAAATAATCAATACTATTGCACTTGTAATTGCAAATTGAATAAGATCGATTTAAATATAAAAGTCCTAGAACACCTTGCCTTCCAAGCTACAGACCGCCCAAGATCCTTTGCAAGTAGAATCTAAAAGAAAAAAAAGCATGAAAACCCTCAAAACCTAAATCTAAGAGAGTGGAAGTATCACAAGACCAATGTTTTCATTATCTCAACCCTTTCTCATTCCATTTTTATCATATTTCATTCCAACTTACATTGGTCAATATCCATCATAAATCATCACATCTCATGCCACAAATCAAAAATAAATATCTATATGTCAAGGTACATTGTGCTCAAATATCATAAAGTCTCAAGAGGTTGAAACATAAAAACAAGATTCCATGTTGCAGAATTAATAAAAACAGTCTACTCATCCAAACTGAGGACAAGGCAGAAAAATAAAGGCAAGGAAGAAACCTGTTCAGAATCCACCAACATGTCCAAAAATAATAATAATTACAAATAAAAATAAAAATAAAAATAACGAAGAGGAAAGAGCTAATTGAAAAACATACCAAAGATGAAGCAATTATACAACCAAAAACCAGTGCAAGAGAATGAAGAAGCCTCTTCCTGCATTCAATACCCACTTAATGAGAATATATCTTCAATTCTAAGAGGAACTGAGAACACTGCAATGTTAATGAACAAGACAACAATAGCATAGGGAAATTAGCGATGAAGAAAATAACAACATTCAATTTAACGTACTTAAAATTAAATGGGTATAAAACTAATGAATGAGCAAAATGCAGAAGCAGGTTTTAGAAGAAGACAACTATCACTTCTAACATTGTCAAATTTCCCTGGTGCATGCAGGAAAAATCATAGTTGGGTGGACAATGGAATTCCATGTAGCTGGTTGTGGAAGGAACACTTTTCAAAAAAAAAAAAAAAAAAAACACGACTTCACACAAAGCCAATGTTATCACAAAAATGACCTTCTGCAGCTACTTCATAAAGGAACACTGACATTTGTTCGAATTCTGTGGCATATTGACAACATGCCAAAGGCAACCATTGACCACAAATTTTTAGGTTAACTAAACTCATTGTATAATAAGATTTGATGCCCTCGGAGCCATATGGTTATGAAGCAAACATAATTTAATATAAAGTCAAACACTACTTAGATCTTTTGTCATACATATATGAAGCAAACATCTGAAAATTTGTTTATTATGCTCCAAACACTACTTAGATCTTTTGTCCTAAAAAATGTGTTTAACTAACCAAATAAGAAAATAGAAAAACAAGCAGAGCAGTGTCATTTTGTGGCATAGGAGTTGCTGCTGCACTTAGGGGGCAATAACCCCAAACTTGGTCCGAGTCCACTCTCAACTAAAATTATGTTCTTTATTGATCGATTAAAATATTTCTAAAGTTTCAAATACTCTGATATTGATTTTCAAAGCCATATGTATATCTTTTAGCCTTGGCTAATTTTATTCTTTCCAATGTTATGAGCACCTACTCAGAAAATGAAACAAAAGTACCCAGTTAGGTGTAATGTAAGTGTCTTTCTTCAACCTTTTATATCATAATCCTTTTTCAGAGTTCAATTTCTTTTGTTTTCCTGAGTTTCCTGAGTCACCAAACAAAGCAATCCAGAATAAATAATACAGAATTTGAATTGCAATAACATCAGAGAAAGAAGTTGGAGGGCTCAAGCCAATTGACAAATAACAAAATTCATGCAAAAGGTGAAGGACATGCATTGAAAACAAAAAAAACCATGGATTTCTTTTCCTTGAGAAAAATTTAGGATGAAAAAGAAATATCAAGAATTAAGAACAAGAAATTTCACCTCATTAAAACAATCATGGAAGATGAGCCACAATAATGCTAGGTGACATTGGAGCGGACTTCGTACAGATGGCGAACCTTTAATCGGATGATTTGCCCAGCTTGGGGGCAAGATTCGTGGTAGAAAACATATTTGAGTGGACTGCGATTGCAAGTTAAATAGCCCCCATCACTCGTTTAAAAGGTGTGAGAGAGAAGGTCCGATAACCTAATAATTCAGCAAAAAATTCAGACTAAGGGTGTTTTAAGTTACCAAAATGCCAAAGGTAATAAGAAACTGAAGCTGTGCATATTAGCATCTGGTTGTAACTCCTTAAGAGAAAGAAAGTAAAGTGCAACTAATGATAGGGAGGTATAAAGCTAGAGAGAAGTCATAGACGATAAAAAATCCCATTTTATGGGCTTTCGAGTTCGAAATTTTCAACTTACACTTTAATCCCTTTATTGCCTTTACTTGCAAAATCATGCAACAATATTAACTGTATCTAATTCAAATATTGTTTAAATCTCTATAGTTTTTTTTAGGAATAAATCTCTACAATTAAATATTCATAATTCTTCAAGCCAAATACAAAGATCCCTGCTACAGATACAACCTCTATCAACATCAAAAATATTTCACAAAAGCCTACATATACATTGATAAGCCTCTTTCTCCAAAAACTGTTTAACCATCCACCTCCAGAAAGCCATATCCAAATGAAGGCATATAACCCACTATACCAAATGATATTAGAATCTTAATTGGGATAATCAATTGTTCTTTGAAAATAAATGAAGTTATTATTTTTATCAATTCAATTTCAGATAGGCCACACTTCTTTTCACTACTAAAAAAAGTACTTTTTGCGACCGCTACAAGTCGTTGCAAAAAAAAGAAACACAGTCGCAAAAGTTTTTTGTGACGGCCCATGCGACGACAAATGGGGGATGCAAATATAGGAGTGGAAAATACTTTTTGCGACGGCACACTTATTTCATCTGCTGTTTTGAGCAATGCTTATATGGATGTCCTAACTTGCCACCTGTGCATCGACAATAGAGTTAGAACTAGCACTGTTTTGTATCATCAATAAATAGTTCAATTATGAACAAAAAATAATACCTCCTCTCTTTTCTTCTCTGCCTCATCAAATGCTGCCTTCTCAGCCTGCAAAACTCAATACAATTCCAAACATCGACAATCGGAAAAAAAGAAGTTCAAAAGAATAAAACTTGCTTTTGAGGGGCAAAAGCTACATCTTTTTTGTTCAACACAAGAAAGAGTCCTTGTTTGGGGAAACCTATTCATCTTTTATCAATAAGTTAGGAACCTAGAACATTGGAGTAATGCTAGTGCCTCCAGCAAGCATCCTAAAAGCTCTAACTTGGCCCGGTAGATACTTGAATCTTCCCTGGAGATGCCACACATACATTAATTACAGAGATTTGAAAAACATGAACATGGTTCAGAATCTTAACTTCATACGAAGAGATTAGAATTCAAAAGCTCCCAAAGTCAATGCACCAAATTGACACTTAGACAAGCAACTCTTTCCGACATTTCATTGAACACCATTTGAGCATATTACCATCTGCACAGTGTAAGAATGCAAAAAATAATCAGTGTGTTTGGTTTTAATTTTTTGAATTCAATTTTTTAAAATTGAGTTTTTTTTTTGTTTTTCGTGTTTTTAGTGAATATTTTTAAAATTTCAAGTAATTTTTTTCTTACTTTTTTAGATGCACTTTACAAAAACAGGAAAAATATGCGGAATTTAATTTTTTTTTTTTTTTTGTATTTTTGGTATTTAGTGAATTTTGTAAAGATTTTTTCCACAAAAATTATAATTTTTAAGTGAATTTATGTTAGGTGTCTAAAAATTAAAAAAATTGCTTAAAATATTAAAAAAATTCAGTGAAAACAAAAAAAAAATACGAAAAACAAAAAAATAGAATCTTCTAAAAAGTGAATTCTAAAAACCAAAAATCAAGTAGAGTGAATTGTTTTTGCACAAGAAAACTGTCAAAATAAACAAGAGCCAAAGCACCATCCACAATCAAATTACATGAATTGGAGATGATGAACAATAGTCAACTATTTAATACACAATTTCCACTTGAAAGGCATAATATATACCTTAGTTAAGTAAAGATACATGAATTGGAGATGATGAGATGGATTTTGATGCCATGTATCCTATCATAATATTGGTAGCCACCAACCCTGTAAAGACCCAAGAGCACTTTTCTACAATTCAACAAAATTAGTTAACTAATCGATTGCACATCTAAAATTTTGCACGAGTATTGATTAACAAATCGATTGGAAGAATTGGCCAGTCCAATCAATTGTCCAATTGATCGGATGACTTGGCCACCACTAATCCATTCACCAATTGAGTGAATGGATTTGGTTTGGTTTGGTTTTGGGAGATAAATTTTCAAAAAAATTCTTGGGGAAGGAGTTTAGAAATTTTTTGGGTTTGTTTGGTTGTATATTTTGGAAATAGTTTTGGAGTATGGGAGTTTGGGATGATTTGATATTTTGTTGTAGTTGAGTAGATGTGTGTGAGAGAAAATGTGATTAAGGAGAGAGGAGAGAGAAAAAGTGATTGATTGATGTGTAAGAGAGACAGTGATTTTGAAAAAAATTTCCAACCAGACAAAATATTGGAAATTTTTTTCAAAAATTGTGTTTTGAGAGTTAAACCAAGCAAGGCTAGAATCTTTTAAAAAGTGAATTCTAAAAACCAAAACCAAGCAGAGGGAATTGTTTTTGCACAAGAAAACTGTCAAAATAAACAAGAGCCAAAGCACCATCCACAATCAAATTACATGAATTCGAGATGATCCACGAACAATAGCCAACTATTTAATACATAATTTCCACTTAAAAGGCATAATATATACCTTAGTTAAGTAAAGATACATGAATTGGAGATGATGAGAAGGATTCTGATGCCATGTATCCTATCATAATATTGTAGCCACCAACACTGTAAAGACCCAAGAGCACTTTTCTACAATTCAACAAAATTAGTTAACTAATCGATTGCACATCTAAAATTTTGCACGAGTATCGATTAACTAATCGATTGGAAGAATTGGCCAGTCCAATCCATTGTCCAATTGATCAGATGACTTGGCCACCACAAATCCATTCACCAATTGAGTGAATGGATTTGGTTTGGTTTTGGGAGATAAATTTTCAAAAAAATTATTGGGAAGAAGTTTAGAAATTTTTTCGGTTTGTTTGGTTGTATATTTTGGAAAGAGTTTTGAAGTATGAGAGTTTGGGATGATTTGATATTTTGTTATAGTTGAGTAGATGTATGTGAGAGAAAAAGTAATTGAGAAGGAGAGAGGAGAGAGAAAAAGTTATTGATTGATGTGTAAGAGAGAGAGTGATTTTGAAAAAAATTTCTAACCAAACAAAATTTTGGAATTTTTTTTCAAAAATCGTGTTTTGAGCAAGGCCAGAATCTTTTAAAAAGTGAATTTTGAAAACCAAAATCAAGCAGAGTGAATTGTTTTTGCACAAGAAAACTGTCAAAATAAACAAGAGCCAAAGCACCATCCACAATTAAATTACATGAATTGGAGATGATCCACGAACAATAGTCAACTATTTAATACATAATTTCTACTTAAAAGGCATAATATATACCTTAGTTAAGTAAAGATACATGAATTGGAGATGATGAGATGGATTCTGATGCCATGTATCCTATTATAATATTGTAGCCACCAACATTGTAAAGACCCAAGAGCACTTTTCTACAATTCAACAAAATTAGTTAACTAATCGATTGCACATCTAAAATTTTGCACGAGTATCGATTAACTAATTGATTGGAAGAATTGGCCAGTCCAATCAATTGTCCAATTGATCGGATCTAATCCATTTACCAATCGATTGGAAGGATTGTCCACCACCAATGAATTGGGCAATTGATTGGATGGATTGGCCAACACTAATTAATTGTTCAATAAAAACTATAAACAATCATGCTATCATGCCTTCCAATATTCTAAAACCAGGAAAAAATCTTATTACTATTTTCCTTTCTCCATTATCTTAGAGAGCAAAGTATTCATTAAACAGACAATAGTTACTGTGTGGGAGAAAATCTGACCACACTGCCTGCCTAGTAATCAGCTGGAGAGCACTGGCAGAATAGATGGCTTCAGCAAACCTGCAACAGGAAAAAAAGGCTCCGGCGGTGGCTCTTCCACTCGGGGGCACTCCGACGATCAAGTCAGTATATCTCTCAAAGATAATCAAGTGCTAAACTCACAAGCTTGAGTATAAAACTGCGTACCTTCGACCCACGGGGGTGCCTCTCTTTTATAGTTTACTCAATCCAAGTCCTACTAGAAGCCTGACTTCTATGGACTCCAACTTAGTACTTACTTTGGATTCCTCAATAGATAAAGATAAACTCTCTTAGAGCTTTATCCTTATCTTAGCAAAGTCTTCTCTTTTCTCCAGGACTCTTATCCCTTATCCGCTTATCTCGGATTCCGATATCTTCGGAGATAACCTCGGCATCGCCAAGATAACCTCGGCATAGCTACCACGACACGTGGTACCTCGGCTGACACGTCGACGTCACCATGCCACGTGTTGGTATACAGAAAATACATCCCCACAACTGCCCCCTAGGTTCTATTACCTCGGCATTTTGAGGTGATGGAACCTATTATCTGTATTTTCTTCTAGTACCTCGGCGTAAGAACTTTTTGGCCGAGATCATTCATTTTAGGCCGACATGTCTTCATCGGAGAATAAGGACTTCAAATGAACCCTTTTATGCGTATGAGCTGTCATACATCACTTTTCAACCGTTTTATTCACGCGTTACATCCTTATTGGCCCGTGTCCGTGACGCGCCTGTAAGCCGTCTTTCATCAGTCTGCGCTGTCTGACGCACGCGTTCCCCCAGGCGCAATAAATACTGTTTTTTGCCGCCGTTTCAAGTTTTTTACAAAACTTTTCTTTGCATCTTAACTTCTTTACTTTTGTATTCGTCTTTCTGACTCTCTCTTTCTAAAACTTTCTCAAATCCGCCATTGATTTTGCTCCAAGCTCTACAACCGTCTTCATTCCTCCATTTCAGCGAAGCCCTCGTCGTTCCGTCGTGTCTGCAACCGCTGCCTTACCTCGGCGACTTTTATTCCGGCGTCATTTGTTTGGGTAAGCCTTCGCTCCTCTTATTCCCAAATTCTTCTATGTGCTTTCGTTTACTTACTGCCATTACTGCTCTGTTTCAAATCTTTGATTTGTTGAACTATCCGTCTGGATGTGTCTATTCATGATTTCACCCATGTTTTGAACACTTGTACTATTTCAATACTTTTTTTGCCTTTGTTCTTGAGCCTGTATTTCTTTCGCTTTTGAGAACCATACCTCTGTTCTTGATTCTGAAACGTCATTCTTTGTTTCTTGTTTCCTGTGATGTTTTCCAGATCTTTGCTTTTAATTCTTGCTTTCAATCTTTGCCTTCATAGATTTAGGTTTGGGTTTTGTCTGTAGAGCCTTCAATTTTTAGGAAAAAACCGAAACAAGCCTTATCAGTCCTTACCTAGGGTTTTGCCAAGGTCCCGATAACCCCCTAAGAATATCTTCTTTCTGAAATCTAGCCTTCTGTCTTTAGGCCGACGTTATGGGTATGTGGAGACATAGAGTAGATACCCCGACCAAACTTGAGTACTTTA